GGGTGAGTTGTATAATATATGTGAATAGAAAAGTTATTGTTGGAGGGTAAGCTAAAGTATATATTTACCATTTTTTTTTACCGTACAATTGTAAGTAATATTGATGTATATTGTAAACATAAAGTAACAATTGCAGGAATATTGAGGACCACCTTGAACGTGTAGAAACAGAACTCAAGTTTGTATTGCAATTGTTTTTATAAGATCGTCGTTGATTTTAATGTTTCTTAATGTTTTATATTTTTTCTTTTTATGTAGAAAGATGAATGCATTGCTATAAAAAATTGTGAAAAGTGTGCAGAATTCAAATACTTTAACGTATAAACCGAAATATTTTCCAATAACATCCAAGGAAAATATGGATGCTTTTGAAGAAATAGATGACGACGAGTGTCAATATACCAATGTGGTAGGGCAAGAATTTTTTCGTCACATCTGTTTAGTATTACTTAAAGTAATTATCAAGCAATTACATAGTAATTCATAAAAGTAATTAAATTAAAATATATAATTATTGCTAATTAACTATATTAATGATACACAGTATTTCTTTCATTTTTTTTGTGTATTTTTTTGTAGGTTCAATATTTCTTCAACATTGATGGCTTTAATGTCAAGGAAACTGTAAACTTATATCTTAAAGAAAGCATGTTAGATAATCTCGCACTTTCTTTCACCTGGTTAGATAATCTCGCACTTTCTTTCACTAATCCTCGCAAGGGAGGATTACCTTTATATAAGATACGGCTCGTAAAGTTAATTTATGGTATGATTTTTTTTATTTCTATTTATACACACATTAATAATTCTTAATGGGTGCTTTCCAGCTACGTACACTGTGTGACACTGTGTTGTCCATAAATCCGTTTATTGGCTATATATAATATAAAATATCTAAGATATTTTATAGCCAATAAACTGACTTTGTCTAACACAGTGTATGTAACTGGAAAGCACCCAATATGAAGAAAAACATTTTACGTTCTTTTTTTAGATGCAGTGTGTAAAAATAAATATTTTCCAAAACCGACTCGATCAGAGTTCCAGCGGCACATGATCGAAGCTCTTCGAGCTGCGAAAGAAAGAGTTCGTTTCCGGAACAAACCTCGTGGCGAACGTGTTTTAGTCGCGCGAGAAAATGATCGTGATTTTTGGAATGCTGACGACACACAGTCTACGGACGAAGATTAAATATGTAATGCCATTTCGGAACGCAGAGCAAGAGTGTTAACGGCACTTTATTACAGAATTCGCTCCGTTATTTCTCTTACAATCTTCTACAATCTCACGCATGTCTTAACGCGAATTTTCCGATTGACTAGGAAAAAAGAATATATCGGGCTTGATTAATGAAAAACCTTTTTTTTTTTATAAATGAAAACATGCTGAGACTAGTTTGGCAACGAGGGAGCCGATTGCCAAAATATATGGGCAAAATATTAATATTTACAGACATTTACAGTAAAGAAATTACCAAATAATATTATATATAACGAACAATTTTATTTCACATCCTATTTCCATTCCTATTTACATTTTTTCAATTCACTAAAACAATAAAAATAGATTATAAAAATAATGATTATAGAAATAATGAAGTATAAGAATAAAAACAGTTTAAATCGCAACTGCAGAATCTGTTCTATTTCTGCTGTTAGTCTGCTGTCAGAATCTAACTACAGGCTCTGCGTTCTATCTGCAGTTAGTCTGCTGTCAGAATCTGACCGCAGGCTCTGCGTTCTATCTGTCGTCAGTCTGTTGTTAGAGTTTGATATCAAGTTCTGACAACAAACTAACACCAACTTGTGGACACAGATGACTATGGATCTGACAACAAAGTCTGCACTAATCTGACGTCAATCTGACATTAGTCTGCGCACAGATTGCTTACTGGGGTAGTAAAGATTATTTTAAATATGTGCAGTATACAAAAGCTGTCACAAAACAGTCCGTCTTGCTCTGTTATATGGAAAAAATAATTTGCTGCAGCAGCAAACTAATTTGCTACATATAGACAGTTAAATATAATTCGCTGTGTTAGCTACTTTTTCTTTGCTACAGGAACTTATTTTCTTGCTATGATAACAAGAAAATCTGCTCCTACAGCAAGAAAAATGGCTAACGTAGCAAATTTGCTACATATGGACAATTAAACATAATTTACTACTTTAGCTACTTTTTTTGTTGTAGGAGCAGATTTTCTTGTTATCATAGCAAGGAAATTGGCTTCTACAGCAAATAAAAAGTGGCTAATACAGCAAATTATGTTTAGTTATCCATATGTAGCAGATATTTTTTTTCGTGTAAGATTCTTCTTCTTCTCAATTGTATGAAACACAATTTCTAGACTGGGTATGAAATAGCCCACGTAAAATAATTAATATAAATACACTGTTGGATGACGCAACACGTAGCATAAAATGTTACAGTGACATTACAATAAACTCACAATAGAGTCACAATGTCAGAAAAATTGTGACGTCACTGTGATGCTATTAGAAAGTCACAGTAATGTCATATCTATACTATC